TTGTACCAAGTGTTTACTGTCTTCACTATTATTTGACCAAATCTCTACACCCTACACCAGGCTTGTTGCAGCGTTATGCACCCAACTTTAACTGACAGACCGATATTCCGCCGCCTCCGTAAATGATTGAGTCTCTGAAATGCCACACTGGCTTTGCTGATACTCGAAGTAACATCCTCAGGGACGTGATCACGAGCGATGACACAGTGGCCAGGGCAAGTGGATCGATCTACCAATTTTAATGGTTATTTCCTGATAGCTAGAATCGGTGGCTCATCATGTACAAATACTTTGTGCTTAGAAGCTGCTGAGCACACGCCGAAGCGTGAAGAGCTACGCCTCAGTCTGTTCAGTAATACTTGCATAGCCACTATGTCAAATCCAAGGAGATCTATGTTTTCCACATGCTCATGGCTTGTCACCTCGCAGAACCTCCACTGCAAGAGAGTTGGAAAGAACGCGGTCATTCTTGATGATTGCGATCACAAAATGGAAGAGAAAAGGAGATATGGGACTACTCTGTTGAACCCCACTTGCCACATGGAATTCAGGACACGGTTTTCTTTAGGTCCTTACCCGGCGGCTTCAGGAGTCGCGAGAGCGATTTCAAAATGGAAAGTGCAAGTTATGCAGCGCAGCAATATTGTCCGGTTTCGTGAAATGGCTTGTTAGCCACTAGTTAACACTAACGGGAAATCATTAACAACTAGACTAGATGGGTTTTTTTTCTGGACGGTGCTTATTGCCTCACTAGATATTACGCAACTGAATGCCCTATCCAATGTGGGGCTTTAGTGAAGCCATTTCCTCTCTTGCATTTGACTTGCTGCTAATACTCTATAACCTTTCCGTATCACTATGATACTGAAACTCATCATTTTTTGAATTCGTTTTTTTTGTTTTTTCTTCCCTTTACCTTCCTTCTATTGTTGTTAGCTGCAACCTCATAGCAACGTAACTCGCCACAGTTGGACTTATTTGATCGTATTTTATTGACTGCGCACTCCATTGCACTTCATAGCTCATGCCTTTCTCGCCTCCACTCTTGTAAATAAATAAACAAATAAATAACTTAAGAGTAATCAGTACGCCGACCAAACTGTTTGTAACGCCATATGCTAATTAGCGACTTACGTTTGGTAAGCTCGTCGCTTGGTGAGGAAGCTATCTTGCCCTCTGCACGGCAATAACGTGTAAATCAGTGAATAGTGTGCGGCGCTGTATCATATTTAGTAAATAAATAAATTTTTTTATTTCTCGACGATACGAGAGACTATTCCCACATGGGGAAAGATCAACATATTTGCAGATTTTTATCATTTAATCCCCTCTACATGTTAGATGGAAATATGCATTATGTTATATCCGTGTAAGTTTCACCCATGCATGTTGTTCAGGGTGAAGTGCAGCAGATTGTGCTGGGGTTATATCCTCCGTTAACGGTTGTCCCGTCGATCTGACCAGCGCAGTCTGACCAGAAAGCAGAAATGCGACCCTCATGGATGAGCCATTCTTTCAAACTCCCGCTTACATGCAATCCAACTTCGTCGATCGATTAAAACACGTTCAGAAGTCCCAGTTCGTAGTGAACTCAAGTCGGAAATAGAATAAACAATAATGCCAGGGTAGGTGAAAAAACGGCTAAAAAATGATTACGAGTAAAAATGAATAAAACGTAAATATCTGGCAAAGTTTAATTCAAACATATAGACATCAGTTTGCATGGAATACATAACATTTGGCAAGTGTATTGTAATTTTCCCAACAGTTGTTTTGGGACATCTAAAATGTGGACTGATGACGCAAGCCTTACCCCCTGAGAAAGTACTTCAGAATGAAACGAAGATTCTAATAGGAACAGACTGGCGTTATGTACAATGAGAGCGAAAGGTGTCTCGTTTGGTAGTTGACAACATTTCAGTGTAACGCAGCTATAATAGGAAAAGCGACCTAGATGATGGCAACATGATTTCTAAATTGTCAAACGTAGTCTAAAAAATGTGGTATAGCACAATAATATATGTGGTCATGAGTTGTAGTGGAAAGCTTTATGGTGGCTATACTCCGGGTTATTACAGCATACAGTAACGCTTGTGCGCATCACCAGCCATAACTGTGGTTATTCTGAACGAGGTTAACTTTTATTACGCCAGGGTAAAGCACGAATCATAATATAGGCGTGGAAGAGCAGGTCTGTGAAAAACTGGGAACTGGGTGTCCCCCCATCACTGAGCCTGAGATTTAACAGGCGCATGATGGGAAAGGAGCCAGGTAAAAGAGAATTTAATGGAGATGGCCAAAATAGAGTGCAGTGGCGGTTGAAAATCCTTAAAGTCCGGATATCGGAGATGACAGGGGCCAATCTGACACACGGTTAACTTTCAGGCCAGGTTAAATGAATATGAAATACTGAAGAGCAAGATGATAATAATGTACGGAAGAGGATCTGGCTTCTCATTCTATCAATCTGCCAGTGTTGACATTAGCAGATCGCGAGCGTTCAAGTCTGGTAAAAGTTAAGAGATGTTGAGGGCCAAGATGAGGTGAGGTGGGGGGGACAAAATCCTGGGTCACATTTGTTGTTTCATCAGAGAGATAGTTAACCAAGTATCTGGAATATAATGACATCCAGTACAGAGGTGAACTTTTTTAAAAATCAAGACAAGGCAGAAAAGAAAATAAGATGATCAGTAACCAGTGCAGGACGGTTAGGAGAGCCAGTGAAACGAAGTGAACCGAAACCTTCTAACGCTAGGCAACCCGGTAGCCCAAGTGTAGCAAATAAAACATTGCACATAGAAGAAAAGAAAAGAAAATTACGGATAAGCAGAGTCAAAAGTTTACTTACAAGGTGAGATCTATGCCGAGCAGAATTTTGAATGCGGTTGATGTGCGGCTCGACCTTTGGAATTCTATTTGGCCTCACAAATATCGTCTAGTTATATAGATTCACCCAATCTACGTAATACCTCCTCTACGATGAGATGTTTGCATTCTTGAGCTTGAAATATATGCTATGTGTTGTTGCATCTAATGGATTCGGGCAGCTTATTTCATAACGTTGTATACCTTATGAGAAAATTTGGAACGCAACCGTTTACGCACTCTAGGGATGCAAAACCTGGATGATGCATTTCTAGTTGGATATTGATGAAAAGTACCAAACTGGACAGTATCTGGTTCCACAGAACTGGTTTGAGCTAAATCAAACAGGAAGATTAAGCTTAATTCTTCTCAACCATAATGGTTCTACCTTCAGCAGTTTACACCATTGTTGATAATTCAAGGATCCAAACTTTAGTAACCGTTTGGTAAAGTAACGTTATACTTTTTCAAGATTGCTTTTGTCGTACATTTCTAAATATGTGAATACTAATGGGCAATATTTTAAGACTGGACACGCATATGCTTTATACATAGCTAGCGTAGAGTCTTTCAAGCGTAACATATTGAAATTACGTGCTATGATAACTCTCGCTTTGGCGGCGACATGATGTACCTATTCGGAGAAATTGAAAGAGCTTGAGTAGCGAACTCCGAGGTCACGAATCGTAGTGCGGTAGGTCATTGTTTTGTCATCTAGCGTCATTGCGTCATTAATAAGTTTGCATCTAAAGAATAGCGCTTTACATTTGCCAACAGTGAATGTCATTTTTCACTTTCGGCACCACCGCTGAAGGGCGAAGAGCTCCACTTGTATTGTTTGAACACCGTTTGGTTCATTCATGCCATCAAAAGCGAACACAGCTTTGATATCATCCGCGAAAAGAAAGGGTCTGCCATGTCGAAGGATTCGGAAAATGTCATCCATGTATAGTAGGAGTAGCAGTGGGCCTAAAACCCTTCCCTGTATGACGCCGCTTGGTTACTCGTATACGTGAAGGTACGCAGTTTCCCAATCCGGCACATTGGGTACGTGTAGACAAGAAAAATGACAGCCATGCTAGTAATGAGTTAGCAGATCCATAAGAAGTTAACTTTGTTAAAAGTTTGCATGGGGTACACGCTCGAATGCCTTTTCCGTGTCTGAGAAGAGAATAACCATTGATTGTCCGGACTCAGCCGACTTACTTACGTAGTCTAGAAATTCAAATTGGCAAGTTTGACATGAATGACCACGGAGGAATTCATGTTGAGATCTGCGGAATCAGCTTTTGTGAATTAAGAAGCTCCATGACTCTTTCTTTGCTTATTCTTCCCATAATACGAGTCAATATGGATGTATAGCTAATGAGACAATAATTTGATAGCTCGTGACGTGATCCCATTTGTGTCGGGGCGGGACGGTGGCCCACTTCCACCTAGCAGGGTATACACCATTCTTTATTGACAAGATGAATATGTTTCGCAGAAACAGGGGGATATCGGGCCCTGCGAGTTTAAGCAATGCTGATGGTATGCTGTCTGGTCCAGCGTGAAAAGAATGCTTTAAGGCGGCTATTTGCCTGCTAATGCTATACAGCTTGAACTCAGCTGTACCTATGTTTCACTGGTTAGTAGAGGCAATCTTTCTTGTGCAACACAGACGCCTGTAACAAACGAGGAGGTGTACTGTTTATTAAATTAATTACTCACAGAGCTCATCGGGGTCGGTAGTGAGACTGCCGTCTGGTGAGGAAATGGTTATAGGTTGATGACAGTTAGCCGGAATTAAGACTGGAATTCTGATCCTCGTGAATGACGGTTGATTCACTCGCCACTGAACTACAGAGATTCACGCACAGTGCTTGCCGCAACCGATCATTCAAGCGTAATCGTCATGTCTTAACCATTGCGACAAACGTTGTGCACTAACTCTAGCAACCTGTCAGTAGATGCGTCTGCCGCCAAGCGCGAGGTTACTCGTTTGATTTCCGTTTCCCGTCGTCTCTTTCTGAAGACGTCAAAAAAGACAAGATGCAATGGGGGGCTTTCTGTCTTATTACCTAACTCGTGCATTCGTGCTATCACTTGATTTCCGCTTTCACCTCTGCTTTTTCTGACTATCTTCCTGTTTTCAGGACCAGCACAATGATTGGGGGCTGGTCAAAATGCCCAAAGTTAAAGTGTACGCTATCGATAATGGACTGGCATTTCCGTTCAAACACCCGGACGAATGGAGAGCCTGTGAGTGTTTATTTTTCCCTCTCTCTTACGTTGTCTCTACTCAGTCACAGCGCGATATCACCCTATTGTTGTTCGACTGATTTTCCATGTTTCGCAGTGTGAATGCGCAATGGATGTGACCTTTCACGGGACCTTCATATTACGGCTTCTCCTCTGCTCCACTTAGGTGACCCGCTCTTCAATAACTCTTATTCATGGACTGACAACCTATCAGTTCGTGTCTATGAGTACTGCTGCCTGAACCCAGTTCGCGTCCAAAAACCTTGTGACTCTTGGTTAGCAATGCAGAACTGAATTTCAACTTCCGACGAAGCTGCACCCCGACTCCTCATCGTGCGGTTCATCACTATCTACGCATCTCCCGTGAATGCGGCTTCGGGCAATGCTTCTGGCTCGTGTGCCAGGCAGACTACGTACCCGAGTCTCTCAGTTTGCATTTGAAGTTGTACTGACTCCCTTTAGCATAAATGATGCCCCTTCCAGCTTGAGATGTATTTAGTGTACTGATATCACAAAACATACGCAACTGATAACTAGGGACAAGTCGAGTACAGTTATTTTCAAGTGTACAGTGAACAATGATTTTATGCGGATTAAGAAGTATTGTTTTATAAATCCCGCTAAGTAGTCTAGTGGGATTAACAACAATGTTAAAAATACAATCATTACTGCAAAAATCAGGATTTATCGTTCGACGTATTTGTGACGCAGTAATTCCTCTCTCCTAGTTTCACACCACGAGCGAGTGGATGACAGAAAGGATCGAAGCAATAATGTTAAGTGACGAGATGTTAGGTTTAGTGTCGGGTGTGCACTCCATAATTGACGTACACAAAACGAAAAGGAATTCCTACGGTATTCCAGGTGGCTGTACTGTTTTGTTAATTTCAAGGAGTGTTATCTCTCATATTGGTGTTGCTACTGAGCTGCAGTAAGGAGCGACACACATGGTTTAAATCGTGCGGGACCATGTAGCCCACTACCACGTTGCCTCGCAATCGACGATATCGTCAGCTGAATTCTCCTAAGCGTTTCGGCCCTTGCTCGTATGGGAGATTTCGCGTCCCAATGGCATACTTAAGAGTCCGACGTTGACGCCGCTCCAGAGCAGTGAGATCCTGCTGTAGCCATGGCCGCTAGGCTTAAATTGCCTATTTGACTTGATGATGAACATGAGCACTGAGCATCTGCTGGAAATTGAGATGCTGATGTCTTGGAACACTCGCCTCAGCCGTCTGACTTGTTGGCTTCCAGCTTTCGATGCCTATTCAGACTGCTTGAAGCAACCAAAGTCATCCTGAGCCAATAAGCCTAGGTTGCATCCGATTGAAGAGCGCCTCAATATATACGTTCCGAGATGCAGGAATATGTACTCTGATGTATGGAGAGTATCTTACATTTGCTCCCATTGAACTGCAGTAGCTTTCGGGTTGCCCATTGATATACATAATCTAGGTCACACTGGAGCGGATGCTGATAGGCATTCGCCTGAATTCTGCGCCACATCTTGATGTCCTCATCAAAAGCAAGCAATTCAGATCGATATTCTGCTCGAGATCATTGATAGATATTGAAAAAAATGTGGCCCTAGAACTGAGCCCTGAGGCACATCACACTCGACTTGTGTGGGATCAAATAAAGAGCTCCGAACTCTGACCACTACTTTTCATTGAAGGAGAAAGTTAGCGGTCCGGCTCAAAGGAGGGTTACCTGCCCCATAACACTGGAGCTTAGGCGAATTCGGTGATTTAAAAAAATCCAGGAAAATCACATCAGTGCCTCCAGTGTCTACCGACTTGATACAGCCAGTACTTTTTGTTAGCAACTTTGTGGTGCATGAGCGCCAACCACGGAAGCCGTGCTGTTCGTGACAATACTATTGCCGTTTTCCAGTTTGGCTACCAACGCATCGGGAACCATGGATTCAGTTGTACTCCTGCTTTGCTGCGCTCTGACACTACGACTGCTGACTGCTCAGTCACGCGCCCAGCCAACCGAAGAAATACAAAAGGCAAGAACTCAGTAGACAGGGAGTTTATCTACAGAATAGATCAACTCTATTTATTGGTAAACGAAACATGCTAATTTCGGAGGTCAAGGTCACTCACTCTTCTGCGTCTGGTTTTCAGCCAGTGTGAGTGAATTCCGCTCCACGGGTTTACCATATTGACGGAATAGTTCGATTCCTTTGACGCGGGCTTGTATTTGCTGGCCGATCAATTCGCACTCAGTTCCCAAATTCGGCGGAAAGGTTAAAGGTTGTACCACACCCGTGCTGATAACCTTTGCATGTAGCAGACAGCCTATGTGCTCCGTTTACGTCTCTATTAGAGTCCATTATCTTTGATAACACCTGGAGAAGATACTGGGGAGTAGTTTGAAGGTTGAGTCGTGCCTTGTGGACCCGAGTGGTTATTCCAGGCGTTCACATGGCAGGAACCTGGTTCTTTTGTAAGCGGCGCCGAAAAAAGCAGCCAGTTTCTGCTGCTTCCCTTGTTGTTGTCCTCAGTGCCTTTGGGTGAATGACATCGACGCAAGTGAGTTGTGGTTACACGGAGATGTAAGTGTCTCCAAGGCGTTTTCAGCGGCAAAAGTGACGTTGCCTTCTGGCGACGGAGAAACGTAAGTTGGTCGATTGCCTGGTGACAGGACCCGCTGAAATATGGAGCAATATTGCGTCCTCAGCGCTTTTGCTGTTTTTGTAGTCCTTCTTGTTGGGTCATCGGCCGTCCGAAGCGGAGGAAATCCCTGTCTTACTTTTCGAAGACCATTGATATGTGAGAGCCAGGAGAGAATACCGACCGATGAGAGGTCGGACATTACTCCTTTCTTGATGGGGTGCTGATACCTCGTCTGCAGCTTGCTTTGATTGAGGTGTGCCTCATTCCTCTTCTCTACATTCTTCCGACTTGAGTGAATGAGAGGTCAACTGAGGCACTTGTGTAATCACCGGTTGAATTACCTTTTCAGACGATTTTTTGTCTGGTTTCCGCAAGGAACTTGCGACCATTTAACCGGAGTTCAAATGGAAGGTTTTTCCGATGACTCCACCAGCGTCTTAACGCCCGTTGTTGTTTCCTCTGACTGTACGTGAGAACCATGGCTGCTAGTTTTTTGAACAAAGCGCATGCTAACACTGAAGGTATGCAGTGCTCGTGCAACTACAGTTTACTGTTCTACCTGTGTTATGGTAGGCACATTGAATGTAACCAAACAAATCAGGCAGCCTGTTGATGCTAGTGGACAACTGGGTCTTGTAAGGCTATGAATTCACAGCTTCTGTCTCCTCATCAGACAGATGGAATCTATACTAGTGGCGAGTCCAGAAAGGATCAAGCAGTCGTCTGCTGCCTTCCCGGATGTGTAGTACCTTTCAGATCGAGTGTACCTGTGATGAAGGGCTTCAGTAGTATTATTTATCGGCGAGCCACCGTAGTCATGTCCTTCGACATCAAAGATGCCTACGATTCGGTTGATCGATGTGCCCTTTGGGACTGTCTACCCAGGAAAGGTGTATCCCAAAAATACGTGAACATTAACGGGGCGCTTTACGCATGTAGCTTGGATAGAGTGATAGCTTACGGCAAACTGTCGCCGCCGTTTGATATCTCCACGAGTGTGAGACAAGGATTCCGGCTGTCACCTTTCCTTTTTTACTTCTTCATCGACTAAGTCACTTAAACAGCGTTCACTGGACGCGACTTGCAAGGCGTGAAGCTGCTTCCTGGTGAGTGACTTCTTGACTTGGATATGCCAACGTCACTGCTTTATATGTGACAGCCTTCAAAGGTGCCAAGTAGCCCCAGACAAATTATCATTGGCTGTGCTTTACACCGTCGAGTGCAAAGTCCTCCAAGATTGGCAGGGACCCACTCCTGCACTAACCCTTTGTGGTGATCAGTTGGAAGTCGTCGAGTAATTCCAGCATCTAGGCAGCTAAAGCAGCACCAGTGAAATAGAAGATGAGATCATAAACCGCATAGCAAAAGCTCGATGCGCTTTTGCCAATCTCCATAACCCGTGGCGCCGACGAGACATCATCCTCGCCCTGAAGGTTGGAGTTTACAATGCAACCCTCTGTTCAGCCTTCCTGTACAGTTGCGAAACCTGGTCCATCAAGTCGACAGACCTAAGGGGGATACTTACGTTCAATCATCGCAGCCTTTGCAGTTTATCTCATGTCTGGTGAGAGCACCATGTGAGCAACGAATGTGTTCGGCGTTGTGGATTCGGTACAGGAAAAGCGAGTGAACCGCTCAGCACTATTATATCACACACCGGGCTCTGATGGCTGGGCCACTTGTTACGCATGCCAGCACACGGACTCCTGCGACTTGTGTTGTTTGCGCGCCGGAGGTGTGAACAAAAGATGAGAATGAAAAACCAAGCGATGACTGGATCAAGTGGAATGAAGTTCCCCACTACGAAATTGGCGTCGGTTGGTGCCTCCCGACTGGCTGGCTGGAGTCCGAGGCATGACGAACATGACTGGTTGGATACACTAGTTGATATGGCTAAGGGCCGACCTCAGTGGCGTTTGTGTTGTGAGTTTCTTTGTCCCGTCCTATCCCTCTTTTCCTTCCCTCTCCAACCACGATCTCCGTCTCGAAGCATGCTATGTTACTAGACAGTATGTTACCTGTGTATTCTACAATGTTTATGTTATGGGGACCCAACGTCCCTATAATTATTACAGGCTTAAATTACGGAAGGCTGAAAACCCGGTTCACACAAGTGCACAAGTATTCGGATCAGACAAAACGCACACGTTCAATCAGCCTTCCAACTCGTAAAACATTCACATTGTTTAGCCTTCGCACCCAGAAACAGTCTCGTTTCCAACCAAACACTCATTGTTGTATCCAAGCAACATTTATTTTTCCGGACAACTCTCGCCAAACTTCCAACATTCCTGCTCAGTTTACGGACTTTGCGTATTTACATAAAACTATGTTTCTTGTTTCCAGGGTTTGCTTACGCAAACCTTTCCAAGGGAAAACCCCCCTTCATCACCGTTTCGTAATATAAAAATGAGGCTGTACAACGCTAGAATCGCCTTATCTTTGGCCAGTAAAAGCGCCTGTGGCAAAAGGTCTGTCTTGTTCTTGATTCAGTCTTGGATTGGGAAATCGCGCGTAGAAACTGCGTTCGGTCTCGGAACCCGTTCGACTCGCGTGAATTAAATTTTCGCGACTAAGTTCCGATAACCCACAGACTTCATGATTTGTCAGTTACCGTGCTGTGCGAGAAATAATTCTGAGTCTACGTTCGTTCATCCGACTAAGAGAGTTGGTATCACATTGTTAGAACCTGACGTATTCAAGAGACAGTATTCTACAGTTTAGTATCTCGTTTTTTCCTGTACCTTATCTTTTTGTATTTCGGTACAATAAATGAAGTGTGTTACTCACCAGATAATTTGTAATGATGATGATGATAAGTAATCTGCGGTCTCGTCACTTACCTAATGGTGGAACATACTGGTGTCGTCAGAAACTAACTGTTCCGCCTCATTGTATGCTGCCTCTAAAACGACTCTTTCGAAACCACGCGATGGACGACGCAGAGTAAGACCAGGGCTTGATAAGATAATCTTGACTGTGTATGAGCTTAGATGCTTCACAGCTGTCCACGCTTTGCTTTCTACTGAGCATGCGTCCTTTGCATTTGACTGTTTTCCACGTCGTCCCAGTAATGCTCCTTTCTCCATCTGTCCATCTGAGTTGCCTCGTTTCCACGTTTCCTTTCTTCCACTGATCTATGCCTGTAACTGTTGATGGCGCCAACAGTGAAACTTTCAAAGTTCAAAGCTAATTTCAACAAGATGTTTCTCGGTTGTTGTCGCTCAAATCAGCTTGAATCTGGTTCGCCAACTGCTTTCCCTATCGCGTCCCAGCTCATTCTAGTGCGCTCCATTAACCATAAGATCCAACGAGTAACACCTGGTTCGGTGTTTGATGAGGCTATGAACCCGCTTTTTGGCATTGTTTTTATCGTCTCTTTTTTGGTTTTTCATCCACAGTCGACCATCAGCAGCTTATCAGATAGCTTCAAAACCACATCGGAATTACAGCTGGAACGGGTAAACTGATATGGTGTGGATCCTGTGTCCTTCAAAATAATCGGACAATTTATCATCGCATCGCATGAGCGTAGAAGGTCGAGGGTGGTTCACTGTTGAATTTCTCTGCAGTACTTCAAGGTGTATTCGCTCCCAACAGGAGCTCGTTCTCATCCTCTGCACTCTATACTTCTTTTGGTGTTGATCAGAATTACAACCATTTCACGTGTATCACATATAGAGTCCACCTCTTTGGGCGATTTGCAACCAGGGGAAAGCTCCGCCAGTATCTGACCTGTCTTCCTGGGGTTACATCAGTTACCACTATGGTCGTAGTAGTATAGACCGGACTAGCTTCCTTACCACCGTGTTCTTGAGCATTTTTCTCCAGCTACAGAATATGACCAGCTGCACGCTTCCGCGTCACCATCTGGCTGACCGAGTATCACAATAACTACCTAAATTATGTATTCTCGGCGACGCGAGGCACGCCTTTACAAACATGCTCATGATAAAATAAGAAGGCGAATTTGAAAACGTACAAAAATACAGCATGTTTGCCATAACAGTGATTGTATATGGATGAGTGTATATGTAGCTTGTGGTTGTAAATGTACCGTTGCGTTTTTGACTATTTAATCGCGTCGACAATGTGAGAGTAGACGATTGCTGTCCTTGCATTGGATATGATCGTCCGGATATTTGCGGGGCAGTGACTTTAGAGTTTGTGGCAAGTCTCAACCGCCAATTCGCAGTGTTGATAAGCTGACATTTGTGGCTCATTATAGGGAGAACTCTTGCCAGGCGAAAATCTGCCACGTTCAAGAACACTTCCGCCAAACTATTCGCTGGAACGGGGTGGACCCTAAGCACCCAATTGGCACCACGAGGTGCTTCAACTAGCCAGCCAATGGGTTCTTTGCGACCGCTGCAGGCTCTGCCGACATTATTCCTGTTGATCACGCGTCCGCGTCTTATGTCGATACTTCGTCGCACGACATAGAAAGGGTGTGCTCGCATAGGAATCACAAATAATTGACGTCCGTTTGGAACCCAGTCAAAAATCGATGCACATGATTAAAGCGGTCAGTTCAATAGGCCATTGACTAAGTGTAGCTGCTAACGTCCACGTGTTTACCCACTGGGGATTACATGGGCGCAATCCAGACGAGCTCCCATCCCTCGGGCACTGTGGTTGTTCCTTACCCACGAGCTATCCATCACTTTGCACTGAGTATGGGAAGTGTGGAAGGTAAACTTAATTGATACAGTAATCTTTCGGGAAGGTCTTTGTAGGTGCACGAAGGTGTAAGCTTCACTGTCCCTTAAGCCTGATGCCGTTCCAGTGTTTCGCACGAGACGCCCCCATACATTACGCAGCAACACCAATGATCGAGAGAGGTGTTACGGAGAGTGAGCGAACAAGCCTAGAATCGTGACGCAACAGTGGATCGATCTACAATTAGAGATCGAACTCGAGTAAAGATCCAAATGCGACTCTATGTGGTATCAACGGCAAGTCGGACCATGAACTTGAACCGTTTGATTTGTGTTAATTAATATTAAATAGCATCTCCAATTTTGCTGTGTTAGTGGTTTCCTACAACCTATTTATTGCACCATGCTCTCATACAATGGGATCAGAATAAGAAATCCATCGGTCCGGGTGGTCTTGGCGTTCTCATTTCGTGCGGGATTGAGCTGGTTGGGGGAGGAGCAGCAGATTTCAAGCAGGTTATCCGTACTGTCAACGGAAACCACAAGTCTGGTAAACAAGGCGTGGTTACCACAACCCTTCCATGCACACGGATGCTCATTTCTTAATCTTAACCATTGACTACAAACATCTAACTATAAACGAACCGCCATCTCCACTTTCCCACCTAATAAGTGATAGTTGTCCCTCAACTGTGCCTCAGTCTACAGTTTCGTCATCTGTGAGTTTTCCCCTGTACTGCCTGTCCCGTTATTTTTCATGCGTTGTTACATAGTACCAGTGCCTCGTTAGCACCAATGGACTTTCCACTCGTTAGCTCGTTTCACCACAGCCCAGCCCACCTTGTACTTTTCCGCATGTTTCCTCCCTACGCTCACGTCATGGCTGCAGTTAGTAATCTGTAGTGGCCCTCTCTCGCCGGACTTGTTGCACTGAGCTTACGTTTGACACCCGTTCAACTATGGCCTGGATTTTATGCATACATGCCCCTCGAGTGTGAACCTCAGTTGACCTTGTTATGGAAAGACAACCGCCTGATTATTTCGACGTTGATGAGCGTTTAGTCTCGAACTCAGTTATGTCCCTCCGTCGTCGTCTCACCAATAGTTTGCAGCTGAACTGGGATCTGAATTAAATTAAATGCAGATTGTGCTTAGATTAGTAAGAACGTGAATGTTTCTGTGTGTGTCAAGTTCACTTACCGTTCTATACTTTTTGAGCAATCTACACACGTGTGTTGCCAGTGCGCACATCAGAGCCTCCTGGTGCTCGGGTTCGTGCCAGTCACAATAGACTAACGTGTTTGCACCAAAGTCCATCGACTAAGCTGATTAAATTCACGTGGCTTCTGCACTCAAGGTCTCTTTGTGGACATCCTCCAACTTCCGATCCAGATTGGTCACTATTCCGGCGTTCCTACCACAGTTACAACAATCACAGCGAAGCTGGATTCCTCAAAAATACCGAAGGACTGTCCACAACTTTGTCCTTCTCCTTCTCTTTGTTTTGTTTGCCGTTCTGTTAGCATTCCTCTCCTCTTTTCTCTTCTTCATTCGCATCAGATCCGTTTCATTGGGCTTGGCTACCCATTGCCAAACGACCGTTTTCTGAAGCGATCAAGGATGCAGTGCTACCCCTCCTGTCCGATACCCACTTTGTGAACAGCCTCGTGGGAGATTTGCATCAGTTATTCAAGGTGCGTTTCAAGTTCGTTCACATCCCACTTCTGCAAACCTAACCTAGTCGACGCTTATTCCGTTCCATTTTGTCTTTTCCCTAGTCATGACACACTTTTAAGGAACTTTAAGTTGTGAGCACGCGAATCCCATCGCAATATGCCATCTTGCTCCACCTTGTATGCGCAATTTGCCGTTCAGCGTGTTTTCCGCATCCATTTAGCCCCCCATCCTTTAAAGTGTGGCCAATGGTTTTTGGTTCCTTCGCTTTTTCAACTAATCGTGTCTTCATTTACTGAGTTGTACCAAGTAGCGTTAGTGAGCGCGTTGCACATGCGGCGTCCAGTTGGTGTCGTGCATTAAAAAACTGTATGCACTTAAGGAATTAGCCACACCAATCATACTTCCCCGCCCATTTCGATTTGCTGCCTTGACACGTACTTGAGCCCCTCATCACATTCACTCACGTCAAATGACTAGATGCGATCCACTGCTCCTTCCCACCGCTTAATGTACGCGCTTGTGAGCTGTGTTGTATGCCTTCATAGTTCAGTTGTTGTGGAGTTCTCCTAGCTGGGCAACTTGGTTGCAAACGTTTCGCCACCATTCGAGGTGGCATCTTTAGTGCGGGATTGATAGCAGTTAAGTAGCAGTAGCTGGTAGAAAGCAAACCCAATAATGGTCCATTATTGGGTTTGCTTTCTACCAGCTACTGCTACTTTACTGCTATCAATCCCGCACTGAAGATGCCACCTCGAATGGTGGCGAAACGTTTGCAACCAAGTTGCCTAGCTCGGAGAACTCCACAACAACTGAGCAAGCCTCCCGAGCTACCAATATTCCAAATCATTTCGAACGCCTTCATAGTTGTTATTCCCCACCCACGTTGTCCACTTGAAGCTTGCGCTCATTCTCTTATTCACTGGGCATACAGGTCGCCCTCGAGCCATGCTACTACGTGTGCTTTTTTGAGCTGTTTACAAAGGAGGCTGCGGTGCCAAGTGAGGTTCCTGGTATGGTTGCTGTCAATGGGTAACTGATCAGAGGTCGCTATTGGGGTTCATTTGGACTACAAGCAAGTTGATATTCGACAATAATGCCTCGGTTTCTACGAATCCCCATGGCTCTGCATCGTGGGACCACTTTTTCTAACGCAGCGTCGGAGTGGATGTTTCTCTTAATTCCTTTTTACTCGACACCGGAACTTGGTAACTCTCGTTTTTGTTGGACGCACTGTTCCGTAGGAGCACCGTTTTCGTATGCTCATCTGCTTCATCCGGAATCGCATCCAATGGCGGCGTGATACAGATATCTTCGACACTTGTTGCTTAATACTCATACGCAGTCGCTCCGCAGGTTTCCATCCACATGCTTCTGACTTGCGGTCGTGGCCGGCTTCACATTTAGCCATTTCACCATTTCGATTTGTTTTATTCTTGTCCTGATTGATTCGTGAACCCATGAGCACTTTTCCTTTATCTGCACTCGCCTCCAAAAGAAACGTCTTTCATTACAACCCTTTTCTTTTCTTTTTTCGTACTCTTGAGTATACGCGACCGACGCGGGTGATTCGGCCATCTAACGGTTGTCTGGCTGTCATCCTTGGTAGAGTGAGAGTCCTTTCACTACCGCTACTGCTAATCTCCCAATATCCATCTATTTTTGGCAAATTCTGGCCAATTGCGCACTTTCTTTACTCGTTGTCAGGCGACCCTTTCGTCTCTGGGGGTTCATCAATACGCGTGCTCCATGAATTCGCAAACGCCCATCACGCCATCATGTGATCATATTTTAATGACAATGCTGAGTGACCCGTACGGGTAAATCAATAAAATCTTTCGAGATCGCGTCAGCATCTCCGTCATAGAGTAACCCTAGCCGAATCTCTACATTGCTTGCAGTGTGCGGCTACTCCTGTATACAACACGGTCGGCAATGTTGCCTGTTGTTCTTCTGTTTTCCGATTCAACCCATTATGCGTACCCGCTATGGTGTACAACCTTGTGTTCAAGTCATCGATTATGCTCACTGGCTAAACTCGCCGTCACTGCAGCGTCTATCCCGTGCTCATGTGGTGCCTCCGCGACCACATGCAGTCGACCTCTCCGTCTTACGTACTAGTTTGGTGTCATAGCTGCGTTGCGGACTGGTGCAGCTACCAACGCAGCAGCTGGTTCTCTTTAGTGGAATATCTTACTTAGTGTGAACTAAGTCGCTCTCGAAGGCTCCATGTCTTCATCTGGATCCCTTGGGCCACTTATCACTCGCATCGGGATTTATTTTCAACCGTAGCAAATCACTCAACAGGCTGCATTGATGTTCCTCATGGGGTGTGGTATACGTTTAACGATCATGCCTATCTACTGACGCATCCTTATTCGTTTGGGTTTGGGTTGTTCCTGTACGTATCTCGATTTGAACCGACCGAATCTTCCTGCTCTCTTATACCATATCCAAGGTAGGATTATTTTGCCCCTCATTTTCACTGTAGCACTCCGCAATCGGTTGTATTCTGTTTGGGAATTTCCAGATAGAGGGAACCCGACCGACATTCCACTCTGTTACGTCACAGCCACTGGCCCTACGTCTACAACAGCATGCTACGAGCCATGCTTGTGCTACTGTGCAGGTATACCTTTGATATCTTCTAGGCCTTCTGTTCATATGCTCTCCACTTTCTTGCTTGGATTGGAACAGAATGTCTTACTGGGAATCGCAGTCGTTTCGACCACCTAGACTGCATCCGAATTTTAGGCGTTTTTGATGTTGCCCAGCACCAACATTGCGTTCTACAGCGCCCTGCTTGTTCTCCTAAATTACTGATGTGATCTAAACCCCCCACTTAAGCTTGCGAGTTCGGGATCACCCATACCCTGGGAGTTCAGACTGCGGATATTAGGCGAGAGCATCGCCACCTCATTTGGTCGGAGCAGATGTCAGCAACTATTGCGATTTTGGTTAATGGTGTTCGTTCCTACAGACTCATCGGTGAACCCATTCATCAGGTTTCGCTCTCTTCCGTTGCTGTTCAATTTCTCCGCCTTTAGAAATGTCCCACCTGACTGCCATCGATTACAGTCACTGCTGCGCTTCGGAACGTGGAGAATATTCCCGAATTCGTTATCCTTATGAACGCGCTTCCGATATCATCATGCTAGCTATTTTGTGACCAGCCTTAACGCTAGGTGGTTTCACCTAAGTTGAGCAAATGGATGACACCACGGTCCGTTAATTCGAGCCCAACGAATTGGCTCGAAGTGGGGACAGCACTGGCAGGAGCCAGGTGTCCACAGTACCACTCGCATGCCGTTACATACCATCTTGGATGAGTGGATGCAGAGTAACTGCAGAGGGTGGTGACTCGCACCTTGAAACGCGGAAGAGTAGTTTGTGATGTGACGTGGGTAATTACTCAACCTCCCAAGTGTGGAGCGTATCGTGCTCCTTCTGACGCTGACATGACCCCAATGAAGGCTACTCGTGCATACGGTGGTACCGCAACCTTGCTGTTCGATCCGATTAACAACGTCGAGCAGACTATTCAATTGTTCTCTGCTAGGTTTACGTAAAGCAGTTTGGGCCTACCCGGCAATAATCGGGTCATCAAATTGTTTCACATGTTTGACACTTGGTCCTGTCCGCTTCGCATGGATTCCTGCTTGATATGTATCCTATTTAAGCATTGATTCGTGACACGCTTGGTATCACCTCTTATTTATTATCCAGACTACATCCGTTTCCGGTTACCGAAACAGAAACCCTCAATCATCACCCACCTCAATTACGGACTGGTAACCGTACAATCCAGCCGCAACGCGTCGCCTCCATTTAGAACACTGTAGATCACCACTTACCACCTTGACCTGCTCCAGTCAACCCATTCGAACCTCACTCCTCTGTCGCGCATCACATTTTCGGCGTGTCCGGCCGGAATTAACACATCCAAGTGACTCATTCAAACCCATTCCTGTTCAGCTTGCGATGTCTACGTCAATGGCGTTGTGTTTGACCGACACGCAGCACAAACACCGTTTCGGCTAGCTAGGGTGCTTACAAACAAGGGATCCAGATCGCTGGTCGGACAACGCAGCCTGAAACCACCACCACAAGGCGTTGGCATATGATCAATGTTCGCCGATCGGTGTTTTGATCACACAGTTACGGGTCACACGCTACCAACACACTGCACTAACTCTCGATAAACATTAATATGTGTGTAGGCCTCCGTGTCCTGTTTTGATGCCACATGACGGTAGATTGGGCAGTGGAATATGGAGTGTTGACAGTTGGTCAACCCTCTCAGTGTGGCTCCGGTTTATCGTCTCCTATGTGTCATCATGCTGGAGCAGCTGCTTCTCGCATTACTCGTTCACACAAAATTTATCTCATCGATCAACATCATACGATGTTGTCTGTATTCGCGTCTTGTGATTTACCATGAATTTAGCGCAGTACGACTGGAGATATCCGATAGAACTATTTTCGTATACTTCTAATTCGGCGTCGATTGGTGTTTGCCCCATGTGGACGCATTGGGAGAAGAATTGCGCGTTTATCTACCAGTCTGTCTTTCACTGTCTGGTGTGCACTCCGTGCCTGCCTGTCCGATTTGGAAAACCGTATGCTTACATTTGTTGACTTCTTCGACTAATTATCTGTTATCTCGATGCCAAAGAATTGTTAGCAACTGTATGCTGTTCGTTGATATGATCGCCAGGTTCAGAACAGGGTCCTGTCGTCCACTGCGTTTTTGCTTGGCGCTATCGTTCGTGCTGTTTCGCGTTTACTGTCATGTCTCCAGGATGCGCATCACGACGATCAACTACTACCCGCACTTCCGCGTGGTATCGTGGTCCGTCAAAGTATGGCGTTTTTGGCAGCGCCCAGTGATCCCGGTCTTCTAAGCCTCTTTAGTTTTCAGCTGAGGTGTAGGTAGTGCTGTGCACGATCCCTTCTTCTAATGTGAGTTCCTATTTTTAGAAACATGGTTATGAACTGACTTGCAGTGTCACAGTGGGCA